TTCTTTCTATTGAAGTATTAAAGATGTAGCATGTAAATCACTTAAAGACAGACATTAAAAACATTTGCTGTTTCTCCACAGGGAATAGTGATATCACTGCATTCTGTGATTCTCTGATCAAATATGGCTGTAAAACATGAACAAAACATTTCTCTGTTGTGTAATATAGCAAAACAAAACAAACCAACAACAACAAAAAAAAAGTCTCTTCCTGCCTGCCTGCCTGCCTGCCTGCCTGCCTGCCTGCCTGCCTGCCTGCCTGCCTGCCTGCCTGCCTGCCTGCCTGCCTGCCAGGCTCGATGGGCGATCGCTCTGCCTGCAGCGACTGTAGCCAGGAGAAAGACCAGACCAGCCAAACCAACACCACCAAACATCAGCCCTCGCTCAACCCCACTCAGTCCACCTAGAGAGAGAGAGAGATTGAGAGAGAGAGAGAGAGTGCAAGAGAGATAGACAAAGAGACAAAAAGAAAGAGAGAGAGAAATTGAGAGACAGAAAGAGAGAGAGGACATAACACAGACAATCACAAAACTTTTCATATGGTCAAATGTTGACATTTTATTTGTGTTTGAATTTTTCTCAACCAAAGTTAAAGTTACACCACTGAGCAGGTGAGGGTTAAGGCCTGGTGCTCAAGGGCCCAGCAATAGCCGTTTGGCGTTCAGTAGCCCAACATCTGAACCACTGAGCTACCACTCAGCTTGTGTCCGGAAGTAAAACCGTCTGCTGTCTGTCTTGTGGTAAAACCCAAACAGAGACCATGATCAGGCAGTGTGAGTGTATAGACAATATCCTTTTAGAGTTTTGGTTATTTATGTTGAAACATTAAATGTGTAGAGTGTAAATCATTTAAGGATACAGCAAAGCAGGTCAGACAGGGGACACTCGGATTTGAACCAGGGACCTCTTTCCCTGCAGTCAAACGCTCTACCACAGAGATATACTCCCATGGACAGTGGTTGTTTATGTATTGGAGCTTGTGTCCAGACGTTAAAAACATTTGCTGTTCCTCCACAGGGAATAGTGATATCACTGCCTTCTGCAATTCTGTGATCAAATATGGCTGTAAAACATGAATGAAACATTTCTCTCTCAATATATATATGCTTTAGTGAGTCTTGTATTTTGTCTGCAGTCTGCCGCCCAAGGGCAAGGACTAGAAGACACAAAGACATTGAACACAAAATACCTGAACATAGCTGTGCAGACTATACAGCAAAGATAGCTGAATTAAGCAACAATATGCAAAAGAAAAACAATCAATAAGTGTGTTGTGTGTGGACGTATCTGAGACAAGTGACTGCAGCTGGACAGTTGAAGACTGGAAAAGGACCAGGTGATTTTTTTCTCAGCCTTGTGCCTGAGCTACTCTCCAGAGGGAGGTGGAGAGTAAGCAGAGACATTGACACACCATTATGGTTTTGGTGATTGCCATTGAACTTTTAACAATGTAGAGTGTAAATCACTTAAAGGGAGTCTGAGGCAGGTCAGACAGGGGGCACCCAGATTTGAACTAAGGACCGCTTAACCTGTAGTCAAATGCTCTACCACTGAGCTATACCCCCATGGCCAGGAAGGTAGGTCATTAATATATAAAATGTTGCTGTTTCTCCACAGGGAATAGTGATATCACTACCTTCTGTGATTCTCTGATCAAATATGGCTGTAAAACCTGAACAAAACATTTCTTCCTCAATATATGTATGCTTTAGTGAGTGTATAGACAATATTATTTATAGCTTTGGTTGTTTCCATTGAAATATTAAAGGTGCAGTGGGCAATTCACTTGAACCTACGGTGAAGCAGGTGTGACAAGAGGCACCCCAATTTGAACTGGGAACTGCTTGATCTGCAGTCAAATGCTCTACCACTGAGCTAGAGCAATAGCATCAATTGCAGTAGGGAAGGCTTCAGACTGAGCCCTTCTCACCCCCTTCCTCCTCCCCTTTGACACTGCCAATGAGCTATCTCCCCCTTGACACCATAGGATGATGTTGACGAATAACAAGAGAAGTTTGAGGATAGTGCCTCAAAGTGTGACTGGCCCAGGGGTGAGTAGAGCCTCCAGATTCACACTCTGCTGACTGGGGAAGCGCAGCTGAATAGTGCCAGCCCAGAATAGAGCCATGTTATGGGTCAGCTGTGAATTGTAGATAGTGTTCAAACGTTCAGCAGTAGTTACTGCAGGCCATTTCAATATTTTTATTTACAAGTTTGTGTAGGCTGAATGATGTACTGGGACACCAGAGGGAGGCAGAGAGAAAGCACAGACATTGACACACCATTATCATTTTGGTTCTTTCCAGTGAAGTATTAATGGGAAGCAAGTCAGACAGGGGGCACCCGGATTTGAACCGGGGGCCTCTTGAGCTGCAGTCAAATGCTCTACCACTGAGCTATACCCCCATGAGCAGCTGGAATTTACCTATGAGTGCTTGAGTCCAGACATTAAAAACATTTGCTGTTTCTCCACAGGGAATAGTGATGATTCCATTGTGATCATTCCTAATGATGCAGAGAGTCAGGGAGGAGGAGAAGAGATAGAGAACAAGCATGGTGCTAGAGAAAGGCCAAAGGGTAGGACTTGAAAGTGGGACTGAATCAGAATACCTGTCCTTGAAACGCAAATCTCAAAAGCCTCTTTGCTCTGGGGTAATGAGGACATAAAAATATGCATCGCACACTTCCACTGGTGGCTGCACAGAATAAATAAGATCTGATAGACTTACAGTGCAAAACTCTAGGGCTTTTAGGAACCAGTTCTGCCCTCTCTACTCTAGAATCAGACTGTCTTTCTTCTGAACAAGGAAGTATCCTGAATCTGAACACCTTGTTCTGAACCTTGGCGTCTGCTATTTCAATCAGAGGAAATAAACTTCATGGAACAGAGCAGCAATATTGACAAGAGAGTGTCGACAACAGAACTGAAGTTTGTACCAGGAACCACTGGTCAGATGTAAATAATTATGGTGATGAAAGCAGCTGTGTGGTTAAGGCCTCACAGCAGAACTCCATTTAAGGCTTGCTTTAGGTTGACAGAAATTATGGGCCAAAGAAACAATCAGCCATGCTGTTTTAAGATTGCCACATGGCTAGTCCATTTGGCTGTGTTAATTTTTGGAAAGTGTGCTTTTCTCTCTGGGGCTTCTTTGGCTGCAGATCTCAGGGCCATGTTAAAATATATTGTCTGGAATTATTTTTTTTCTTGTGGCCACATTAAACTATATTGCATGCACAATTTGTGCACAAATGAAAAAACTTTTCATGGCCTCTCTAGGGATACATAATATGTTAAAATATTAACTAATAATTATCCACAGCTCAGTAAGTTGGTCTTCTCTTCCAGATCATTAGCGATTTAGTGTGGTGTGTTTTCTCTCGTCCACAGTGTGGATCATTGTGGTGTCACTTCCTCCCCCTCAGCACCTGCAGTCGCTCCCAGCTGCAGCAGTGCTTCTCTGTGCACTCTCACTGACTGAGGTTTTTGCATGATGCTCTAACACTGTGTGAACACTGAGACACCACTGATCTGAAGGTCACTAAGGCAGTAGTAATCTCCTGCATCTTCAGGCTGGACTCCACTGATGGTCAGAGTGAAGTCAGTATCAGATCCACTGCCACTGAAACGAGCTGGAGTACCTGAGTATAATCTATTAACATGTTTGATCAGAATTTTAGGAGTTTCGCCAGGTTTCTGCAGATACCAGTGTAGATAAGTACCACTGTACACTCTGAGACTGATTCTACAGTTGATGGTGACTGTGTTTCCTGGAACAACAGTGTGCTCTGAAGGAGTCTGAGTCACAGTCACCTGACCTCTGGATCCTGAAGAGAAACATAGATTGTGTTTACATGCTCTAAAGTGGTGTAGAATTAGTATGAAATGAAGTGTGTGAGGCTGTGAGTTGATGTTAATCTCTCACCTTGAGTCCAGAGGGCCAGTGTGCAGATGAAGATGCAGATCAAAGTCATGGTTGCTGTGGGT